GCCAGCTCTAATCCCCTGGCCGTGCAACGCAGCACCGAATTGCTCAATTTGCCCAACGCAGCGGGCGGAACTGTGAACCTTGCCTCCTCGGACGAGTCCAGTTCCTCTAGTGCCAGTGACAACGACAACGACAGTGAAGAGCACCGTAAGTGTCAGCTATTTGGCTACCAGAATTCACTTCAACCAAACTATTTTATATTTTAGCTGTCAAATCGCGTTCCCATCTGCCTGTAGAGCAGGACAAGAATGCCATTACCGATTCCCTGTCGGCCAACGAATTCAAGCTKGACGACGACGACACTGTGACCAGTGTGCGTCGGCTGTTGCGCGAGGCCAGCAAGCATAAGAAATCCAAAAAGAAGGGTAAAAAGAAGAAAGACAAAGACAAGGAACGCAAGGAGAACAAGAAATCTAAGTCAAAGTCAGCGGATGAAGTTGAGCCACTCACAAGCACAGAGGCCGCACTCGAAATGCTCAAGAAAATTGATCATGCGGCGGCGTTCAGGTAATTGCGCGTATGACTTCATAAGCAGATCAAAGAACAGATTGTGAAGGGCCTATGGATTGAGAAAGTGTTCATTTAACATATTGATTGCTGTTAAAAGCCCCATTCATGATCTGATCTTTGACCCGCTTTGACTGCCCGCAAATAAAATTGATTTAATACTTGCGCTCTCCCATGCATGACGAATTAGCCGGAATAAGTATGCTAAGTGAGTCGCCTTTTGGAGCTGTCACATTTTATCTGTTTCCTTTTTACCAACAACCTTTGCAGGATCATGAGCACCAGCAGCAGCGATGCCCAGCGGAAGGCTCAGCTGCAAATGTATTTCAAGCAAATGCAACGCCCAGAGACGCCCCCACCTCCGCCTGCGACTGCACCAACCACATTGCGTAACCAACCATCGTCATCAGCGGGAGGAGCAGGATATAACCTGATGATGGGACCAAGCACTTCTAAATATGCGGCCACTGCAGCTGCCCACTTGGACGACGATCACCCGCCGCCTGCGCCCAAATACCATATGCAGCAACAGCAACAACAACAGCAGCAGCAGCAACAAAAGCTCTCTTTTCAAATTAAGAAGCGTCCGCTGCAGATGGACAAATTCGGCTTGCTGCGTCTGGCCACGCCGCTTAGCTCGCATTCACAGAGTCGCAGTCGTAGTCGTAGTCGTTCTCCCAGGCGACGCACGAGAAGCCGCTCTCGTGACCGACGCTCATCGCGTCGGCGCGGCGGCAGCTCTCGTTCCCGCAGTCGTAGCAGGAGCCGCAACTCTCGAAGCCGCTCGCGCTACTCGAGATCGAGAAGACGACGCACTCGTAGCCGTAGTCGGAGTCGCAGTCGGAGTCGCAGCTATTCGCCCGTTCGTTATGGCGGCGGAGGACAGCGCTACAGAGGACGTGGATTCAAGCAACGCTTTGGAAATCGTCGCTCTCGCTCACGTTCCTATGGCCGAGCACGACGCACGCCGTCGCCGTTCGTGCCGCGTCGTACACCGTCGCCGTTTGTGCAGCGTCGAACGCCTTCGCCCTTTGTGCCACGCCGCACACCATCGCCAGCCTCACGCTACCGACGCACTCGCTCTCGCTCACGCAGCTACAGTCCACGACGCCATCATGGGCCCATGCGTTATACACCGCGCGGTCGGGGGCGTGGCCGTGGACGCTTTCAGAATCGCTGGCACTTCGACAAGCGGAACAATGGTCGGCGGTTTAGTCCTACACGGAGCGTAAGTCCACCCGGAGACGGGCCCACCATCGAGGAGGTGGACGAAATGATCAAAGAAGCACAAAAGGAGCGCAAACAAGGCATTATTGAGAGCGACAAGGATATACTAAAAAAGAAAGCCACAAACACAGGCAGCGACAAGGCCTAAATATTCAACTACAGTCGCACATCCAGCGTTGAGTTCTATTAGGTATGCTTAATAGTCACTCCAAATGTAATTGATATCCGTTAAATCAACTAAAATAATACCATGGACACCAAAATAAAGATGCTTGCAAAGCAAATTTGTTGCATGGTATGCATGCGTTACAAATACAGTCGAAATTCTACTTTTCATAATTTTTTAAAATATAAGTTATGCTTCTTATAATGTCCTGTATAGATATTCCGCGAGGGTAAGCAAAACTTTTTTAACATACCTGTTATTTGAATAATAAAAAATAAAAAGAACATTCAAATTGTCTCAGCAACTAAAAATAATAAAATACATATATAT